ATGCATGCACAATACATGTACCTCAATATAGAAGATTTTAAAGGCATAGTATTGGCCATAGTGCAAATGTACTATTTCTTTACCTGTATTGTGTTTAATATAATTAGGTACACAGATCAATAGCAGTTCTTTTAGTGAGCTTTGTCCCTATTAGATTGATAGTTAATGAATATGTATTCATTGTGTATGTACATGTACATTTAATATTATCATGAGTTTTTCTGTAGGCACTTGATGTATCTTCCAAGATATTAAGAAAAGGAGCTGAGCCACTCAAGAGATTATCCAGTCAAACTGATCACAAGTTTTACAGAGCATTATATGATTTAAGAAGAAGATGGATACTACGTAGAACAGTTAATGGAGTCAGTGGAGACCTCAGCTATAGATCAGGTAACTTAATTGTAATGAAGTATAACACGCACACAGTATATCAGTAATGGGTACTATAGTATGAAGTAACTTTTAAAATTTGTAAAAAATCTAATTTTGATTGGAATGAAGTCAAACTTGCTACACAACATAAGAACGTGAATATGCATCAGGAAAAATTATAAAAATGGAAATTTATCAGTTTTTCATTTTTGGCAAAAATCAGCTCGTGGCACTGTACTGTAGTACAGGGATTTTTGCCCAATTATGGAGCTACTTTAAAATTTTGTAAAAAATCCAAATTTGATCAGAATTTTCTACATAATATAAGAATGTGTACATGCATCATAAAAAATTATTAAAAAGGGAAATTGTCACCTTTTTATTCTTGGCAAAAATTTGCCCAAAGATAGGGACTTTGGCCGGATTTTGAGTAACTTTTTTAAAATCCGATTTGTTCAGGGTTATAGTTTAAACTTGCTACACAACATGAGAACATGGATGTGTATCAGAAAAAATAATAAGAATGAACAATTCTCTCCTAGTCATTTTTTGATGAATGTTACTATCATTATTACTTGCAGCTGGTTCACTGTATGCTCAGTCAGTTTAGTTTGAGGTTCATAAAGAAATTGAAGGTACTAATGATATACTGTCAGTAGTGGTACCTCAAGAACTAAGAGGAAGGAGTGAAGAAGTTATATTCCTAGCAGACAGACCTATTAAAGGTAATGGTATGTCACATGACTATCACATGATTGTACATGTCATCTATGTGTACATGTTCATGTGGTTTTTGTTCCAGAGGTTGTTTCTCTTGATTCTTTGTTGCTGTCTTGTTTCATTGAGCTTCATAAGCAACAGTTCATGTTAACTCCATGGGAGCAGATACTTAAATCAGCTCAAAATGTGCTCTTCAATGAAGAACTGTTTGCACAGGTATAATACTGTACTATAATAATTAATGTATTTGTATTAATTTGGTTTAGATTGTACAATCATTTGTGATGAGGAACTTGTATTATATAATGTGAAACTACACAAGAGGAAAGGTTAGAGAGATGTAACAAGATTACTAGACTATACAAAGTTTTACTAGGTCATGACTAGTGAGTGGGTCATTGAGCCTTATTGCTATAAAGAATAACTACTCACACAAGTCACGTATCTTGTACAGGTGGGTGTGGTTGTGGGTGGAGTCAAACATGGTATACATTGAATAGGTTGATATGGGAAGAATACCAGCAACACTGGTTAATATTGTGTCAAGACGTCAGCCATTAGCGGTGGCATATTTACGTTATTATTTAGAAACAACTAGTTTAAATTCAAATAGAAATGGAAGAGAGAGTAAACCAGTTTATTATCAGGTACTGATTCACCTAATGATCTAACTATGATGTATAAAACATAATGTATAATGTATTATAATGTACACTAGGAACATGTGTGTTTACTAGTATAATTATAAGTTGAGATTATTTATACACTTTTGTTTTTATAACTATATATAATAACTATTAGTCAGTTTGTTGACAGAGAGAGATAGTGTGTTAAAGAGAGAGAAAAGAAAGGAGATGTATTTCATTAAATGGCTGCTTTAATGTTTCATTATACGATGGTTGCCATAATCAGTAACATAAATACATCCATCCTTATCCAGTACTACTACTATACCATATGGATTATTTAATCCTGAGATTAATTTGACTTGTTTCCCGTCAGGACTCAATGCATAAACACAAGAATCACCACCCTTGTAAGTCAATACCAAGGTATGTCCATCATCATCAATAGCAACACCTTGAAGATATTTAGAGCCACTATGAGGATTATTGTATGTATGAAGATGAGTTTCACCATCAGGAGAAAGGACTTTAACATGATTGTCATTGTGAGTAGCAATATGTATCTTTCCTTCATTATCAACTGCTACATCAGATGCTTCACAATCAGATTTAATGACTTGTACAAACTTCTTTAAACACTTGTACTCTTTTGTTGTAGCAATCAGCTACTAAAGTATTACCTTTACCATCAGTGGACATACCATGAGGACTAGAGAATTGTCCATTTCCATTACCATTACTACCAAACTGACCCAGTAGTAGCTGAGAAATACTGCACACGATGAAGATTAACATCAGACACATAGAGCCTGTCTCCTACCAGCAATAAACCCTGAGGACAACCAAACTGTCCATTACCATTACCTTTAGATCCATACCTTCTTACTGCAGTACCATTCTCACTAAATACCTGAACAAACCCATCATAACTACTAGCAAATACTTCACCATTAGTATGAACAGCAACACCAGTAGTATTATTTCCTACATCAAAGGATCTCTGGTTAGTTAGTGTGGTATAGTCTCTTGATGCTTTTACTGACAGTTGATAAGGACTACCTTTAATATGGTGACCTCTTACAGTCACTGATAGTTCATATCCACCGATACTTTGAGGTGTGCATGATACAATTTTTGCTCATTTTGTAATTCACTTGTTGTATGCTTTAATAAAAACCTGATTATTATTGCAACAAGCATAAACACAAGTGCACTACTCAGCTGGTGATGTCTTGACATGAGGATATCGTGTAAATGGCTGTCACAACAATAATTTAAACAGAAGATCAAGTCACAATTTTTTAGCAGCAAGGAAATGTATTTAGTAGAGGCGTGGTGGGACTGTATACATGTAGATTTGCTCCTATAGCAGTAAAAGGTTGGTGTAGTCTACATCAAAGACAATTTAAAAGTTGTGTATAGATGTTAATGTTATGTAAGAGTTAAGCAAGTGGTCATGCAGTTAGTGTCAAGACCCTAGATCGGTTTGTGTTCAATGCCTGCTTCTTAAGCTCTTCATAGGTTTTAGGCAAGGAAACTGCCTGCTTGTACATTTGTCATTGTTTTGCAGTCAACAGCATTCAGTGCAATCATAACTGATTCTGATAGCATATAGCTTAGCAATAACAAAAATAAATAATAATAAGAAAAACAATTAATAATTAAAAAATTATCTATAGTAAAACTAAGAAACTACAGTAACTTTTAAAAGGCTGCGACTATAGCATTATCAATCTCCAAAGTTATAGATCCATTTGGATAAACACCTCCTGCAACACGGGCCCAATCATAATCCAATGCTAGAAACTTTCCATTCTGCTCCAATATATTAGCACACCGTAAATCACTATACCGGCACAAAATTCTTTTTTTGTAGTTTAGGCAGGCAAGTATTCTTAAGATATTTGCAATTGTCATATCTCCCTGGAGCTACTTTAGCTCCAGTAATGTATTCTATCACTATGACACTCCAACCATTGCTCATCAATCAACTGTGGGGCCATCTGTTGCTCAGCCTTAAATCTATGTACACCCATTCCGTAAGATTTAGTACAATTGATGATGACTGACTGGTCTTTTAATTTAGCTGTGTACATTCCTGGTTCAAACAGTTTGATATTGCTAGAGCTATATCTCTTGTTTGTAGCAAAAAATTATGGACAATAATTTAATGTGCCTGTATCAGTTGTAGTTTGTTCATAATAGTCAATCATATTTGCAATTGGCCATGATAGCCTTGCAAAAAATGCAGCAAATTTTTGAATTGGGTCTTGGGACCTCCATTCACAATGTATTAATAATGCATGGCTGATCAATCAAGGCAAAGAATACAACCTTTCCTTCTGTATAGACAGCACCAAATGCCTCAAGGTAATCTCTTCCTACTACTGAAACCAAGACGATAGGGGTAATGCATAATTAGATATAATTTCATTTTGTTGTAGAAAGTGAAATGTCATGAAAATTAGAAAAATTTTTTTTATCACACTGAAAATTCTATGTATAATAATAGTGAGGAATGATGGTTTCTAAGACAGAAAATAGTGAAAAGAAAGAATGATAGCATAACAAGTTAAATGTGGGCAGCAAAAAATTACTAAAGATTAAAACAAATCAACAACTGATTCCCGTCTAACATAATCAGTAGAACTTGGTATTATTTCTCTTCTTTGCTGATCAACAGTTAGATGTGAGTCAGTAACATCTAAAAGTGGATCATCATCTTCATCTTGTTTCTTGAATAACTTCTTAATTAGAGCATCATAAAATTTCTTGTGTGATAACTGCAGGTGAAAATGATAAGCAACAATAAAAATAAAACTAACAAGTAAAAACAGATAAACAAGTATTGTACCAAATCAATACTTTGCTGTCATCAAGTAAAAGCTACAGATAAAGAAGCCATGA